ATCCCGAAGACTCGCTCGCACTCGGAGCTGGAGCTGCGGGCCCCATAGGGAGGAGGCTGGGGCTCCCGCCTGAGATTTCCTCGCAATGCACTCACAGACGAAGCTCCCGCCTGATACGTCGTCCACACTGAAGCTGGATGAGGCCAACAATGACGACAGTTACAAGATTCCGATGACCCGCTCGGATTACTAACATGAGCTGCGTGCCCCATAGGGAGGGGGCTCCCGCCTGAGACGTCCTCCATACTGAAGCTGGATGAGGCCAAAAGTGACGACAGTTACAAGATTCCGATGACCCGCTCGGATTACTAACATGCGCTGCGGGCCCCATAGGGAAGGGGCTCCCGCCTGAGACGTCCTCGCGATTCACTCAATGACGAGGCTCCCGCCTGAGATTCCCTCCACACGAAGGCTTGAAGTCGCTTAGAGTGACGACAGTAAATTACAGGAATTCGACGATCCGCTCGGATTCCTCACATGAGGTGCGGGCCCCATGATGAGATGCTGTGATGGGACGATGACGGTCATGATGATCATGACGGTCATGGTGAAGTCGGTACCCATCATGATTATCTTCATCACCAGCATTATCATCATCACCATCTTCGTTATCACAATCAACAACATCATAAACATTACCAGCAGTATCAACTTCATCATCTTGACCATTTACAGCATGCTCGTCGTCGCCAACATCATCATCGCCATCATCGACATCATCTTCATCATGTGCATCAACATCATCGTCGTTGGGATCGGATCGTCAGGTCCAGTGGGTCCGGTGGGTCCGGTGGGTCCGGTGGGTCTGGTGGGTCCGGTGGGCCCAGTGGGTCCGGAGGGTCCGGTGGGTCCGGTGGGTCCGGTGGGTCTGGGTCTGGTGGGTCCGGTAGGTCCGGTGGGTCCGGTGGGTCCGGTGGGTCCGGTGGGTCCGGTGGGTCCGGCGGGTCCGGTGGGTCCGGTGGGTCCGGCGTGGTCCGGCGCAACCCCAGGGCGAACCATTCTGCGATCATCGGGATCATGTGCCTGCACGTGGACGACTTCCTCATGGGCATCAAGCAGGACGACCCGGAGGGCGCCAAGATCATGAAGGACCTGCAGAAGGAGATCGACTTTGGCGAGGTCAAATACGCGAGGAAAGAGCAGGCCACGTTCTGTGGCCGGGCCTACAAGCAGGACAAGGACGGCAGCATCAACGTCACCATGGAGGCCTACGTGAAGTCGATGCAGACTGTACGTATATCCAGAGAGCGCAGCAAGGCACCAGATAGCGCCTTGACCCATGCAGAGCATCGTGGACTACGAATGGTAGTTGGACAACTGCAATGGGCTGCGCGAGTGATATGCTTCGAGGAGGTCTTCGAGGCATCCCGACTGGCATCTACGCTGGGAGTTCCGACGGTGAAGGACCTACAGGACGGCAGCGCGGCCATCTGGCGGATCCAGAAGCGGACCGACTTGCTGATTAGGTTCTCAACAGGCCTGAACCTGTGGAAGACCATGGTGATCAATGTCACCGACAGTGCTTTCGACAATCTGCCGAAGCACAGATCACAACGCGGACACTTCATCATGCTGGGCGACCAGAAGATCAACGAGGACCACAGCAACAAGTACAAGGTACACTGCGTTGGGTGGCAGTCCTCCAAGATTCAACGAGTGGTGCGATCTACTCTATCAGCGGAGGCCTACCCATGTGCGGATTCAGTGGACATGTTGATATGGACGAGGTCGGAGATGGACATGACCGAGATTGTGCACGACACCTGCCCGGTGAAATGAATTTCGGTGACCGACTGCAAGAGCCTATACGACACGATCACAAAGGAGAAGATCTCAATGACGGACAGGAGGCTTTCTCTGGAAGCCGCTAAATTGCGACAGTCACTCAAGGAGGTTATCATCAAGTGGGTCAAGAGCGAGCAGATGCTAGCGGACTGTTTGACGAAAGTACTTCCAGGAGGCTACGCGAGGAAGATAATTACATCAAATTTGTGGACTCTTGGGCCTGATGACAGGGCACCATCAATACGCGGACGAAAGCTTGTTGGACCAGAGAAGGTGGCAGCCAACAAGGAGGTAGACGAGCTGAACGCGAAGATGGCCAAGTACGTCAAGCAGGAGCTGTGCGACGACACCGGGAAGGACGACGAGGAGATCTCTACGTGGCCGGTGGAGACGTACAACTACGTGGACGAGTGCTTCTACGACGACAAGGACGAAGTTCAAGACGAGGACTTCGTCGAGGCATTCTACACGGAAGAGCTAACGGACAACTACCCGATGGAGAGGAGTGGCGCGCAGAGAACCATCCAGATACCTGACCAAGTTGTAGCTATTTTTTCAAATTTGTGCACTTGCAGTTTATGGAGTTTGTCTTTCGATGTCTCCTACGGTGGTGACAGTACTCTCTATCATCGCGGGTATCATCATATTCATTTACGTAATGCAGCCTAAGCAGAACGACGACGAGGACACCGCTGAGCCGATGGAGGTGGATAGTTCAAGCAGCGACAACCTGTTCAAGCCGGAGTTGCCCGAGAAGCCGGTCAAGGTCAAATCCAGGACGGCAAAGGCTATGCCGAAAGCTACGACGACAACACTCACAGTACGAGCCGATCCAGAGACCTACGATGACGAGATCATGGGAAATGGACCAATCATGCTGGGAAATAGTGCTCTACTGAGACAGTGGCTGGAGACCATGGGACCGACGATAATCAGGAGTGGCAAGTACGAGGGCGACAGCTACGAGACGATCTATACGAAGGACAGGCACGACGCAAATTGCCTAGGACGGTGTCTCAAGCTGGACGCAGACGAGAGCAGGAGTTGTAACCTCGACCCGAGCATCAAAGTTACATTGCATACAGCATCATCAAGTCAGCAGTGCGTGTACGCTGATCCCCACTACTACATATGTGACGATATCTTGGAGCCAGCCAAGGCAGTGGCTCATATGTGAATGGTGGTGGGGATGATGAGTGATTTGGATCGTGTTTTACAGATGCTGAGTGAAAGCACCCCCTCAAGAGCTCAGGTACATATTTTATATATTGATATCTGTTGCTCGGTGCGCAGACCTCAGGTACAGTTTTTTTGTATGTTGCTCAGTGCGTGGATTTCTTCGATCTCAGTATCTGTGGCTCGGTGCGTTGATTTTTTAATATTGATATATGTTGCTTGATACACGGACGGTAGTTTGACCGTTCGAGCAGAGAATATGGGATTTCTTTATTTGATATATGTTGCTTGGCGCACGGACGGTAGTTTGACCGTTCGAGCCGATAGTATGATGGAATATTCTAGAAGCTTGCTGCATAATTTGCCAAGGCATGATTTAGCAACGTTTCCTTTTCCTGCGTGAAAGTTGCATTAGCAATGATGTGAGATATAAGATGATGTTTAGAATTATCTATGTTGCTGCTCTCGCTCGCTCATGCTTGCACTCTCTTGTTCACCGCGGCCGTTTTGGCTGTGGACCCGCCAGCTGTGGCGGGAGGGTGGACGCATTCAACGACTGTCTAGCTTGACATCGGAATAATATCAGATCATTCTCTATTTATCTCTTCTTGCATCAAGAGGTTGTGGGTGGAGAGATTTGGATCAATATTTACAGTCCGTCCAATGTCGGAGTCACCTCTGTGATCCCTCCACCGCTCCCTGTGGAGGGTCTTCAGTGACCGCGGGGGGGGAACAACACGCCAGTCCACTGGCGGAGGACAGTGCTGTCACTTCGTTGGTGCCCTGGATCTCCACTCCACAGGCCTCTGCCTTCTGGTTGTTGCTCACTTGCCCCAGACAATCAAAGAAACCACGCACAGAGAATGCTGCAAAGCGAGCCGAAGCGGCGGCCTCGGCGACACGCAAAGGGGGGGCGAACGGGCCGCGTGTCGCCCAGCACCGGGGGGCGGGAGGCCAGGAGAAGCTCGGGACGCAGACGTCCGGGGATCTGGCACCGAGCACAGGCCGCACGAGCCACCGCAGCCGTCGTCACCGCACACGAGCCCCTACGACACGCAGCCTGGGGTGCATGTTGGGGTCGGGTAGGGCGTCGCCGTCGGCTCGGTCGTCGGCGCAGCGTCGCAGTCAAAGCCGGGTCAGGCGTCGCAGTCGGCTCCGACGTCGGCTCTGGCGTTGCAGTGGGAGCCGGATTAGGCGACGCTCAGTCGCAGAACCACACCTGCCACGCTGCCCGTGCCGTACCCTGGCGACGTGCGCTGGCCGCACGAGTCACCGCAGCCGACGTACTGGTGGGGTTACGCGAAGCGTCTAGAATTACTAGAGCTTTCCTGTGTCAGGGCGGGAAGTGTCCTCGGTTTAGGTCGGGGTTTTCCTAGGTGTGCTTGCGTTTTTCTCGCTCAGGGGGAGCCTAGGCGCGCATTGGACACGGCCGTTCTGGGATGCGCAGTTCGACGACCCGACGTCATGGTTGGCGGTTCGCGCCAGTCGCGAGAGATGCTGACAGGTGCGAAGGCGTGCGCGTTGCGGGAAAGGGCCGCGAGCCGCCGCGCGTGCGCGAGCAGGACCCCGTCTGATTTAGCAGTGTAACAATGCTTGGTGTGCATGCCGTAAGGCGGGGTGCGCCTGGTAGACGCGCGCGAGATGTCTTTTCTAAGCGAATTGGCTCGCTTGCGTCCCAGCACGCCCCGCTCTGCCCTCGCTTGGGCCGTCGATTTCCTTTCTGACAATAGTTTTCTGTCTGCGGCCGATCTATGGCAAGTGCCGACCCAGAGGATCTCGTGGGTTGGACGGCGACGGCAGGGCCCTCTTGGGCCGCCTGAAAGGCCTCTTGGATCCCTCTTGGTCCGTCCTGGGCCCTTGGCATTTTGGGGCCGTCTTGGGGCACGGGCGCTCTGGACCCAGCACCGCTGGCGCGCCTGAGACCAAGCTGGATCAGTTTCCTACGCATGTATGTTCTCATTGTATTAGCACGCGTTCATCATACTATACCATCAATTCGCATGATCCCCTTCGTCCTCGTGGCGAGCCGAGGCCCGCGCTGAGCTGGCCCCCCCGAATGGCAAAGCCGACGGTCTGCTGCACCTCGTGCCCCTGGGCCTGCAGCGAGCGCATCAGCGCGAGCCACTGCGACGCCTCCCCTCAGGACCGGCAGGGCGGGGCCTCCTCCTCTTCCTCCTCCTCCTCCTCCTCCTCCGCCACCTTGTCATCCTCCTTCCTCCTCTTCCTCCTCTTTTTTTTTTTCTTCACGCCATCGAACGCGCGAGTCTGGCTCGCGCGAAAAGGACCGTGCGAGTCCAGCGCGCACGCGCGGGTCAGATGCGTACTAGTTAAGTCCAGGCGGACAGAGGTAAGGTGAAGGCTGATGTGGTGGCGGCTGCATGCGGGTGCGACCGCTTGGGCCTTATGTGGAGCTCCCTATGGAGCCCGCACGAAGCGACGCGCCGCCGCCGGGCGGAGGCCACGGCCCCCCGCTCACGCGGCCCCGCGGGCGTCGGGGTCCGGGCCGCGCCAGGCCAGCGCCTCCAGCTGCCGCCTCTCCTCCTCGCTCGGCCCCTCGGGCGCCGCCGCCCCTCCCTCGCCGCCCTCGCCGCGGCCCGCGGCCCTACCGCCCGCGCCCTCCACGGCGCCCTCCTCGCCGCTGCCGGCCTCGCCGCTGCCGGGCGGGCCCTCCTTCTTGTCCGCCGGCTGCCGGCGCGTCCTCCTCCTCCTCCTCCTCTTCCTCCTCCTCCTCCTCCTCCTCCTCCTCCTCGACGCTCGTCTTGCGTCGTCCTGGCCGCCTCCTCGGGGCTTCACCAGCGCCTGCTGCCTCCTCGTGGTCTCGTCGTCGCTCTCCTGCCGCTGCTGCTGGTGCTCCTCCTCCTCCTCCTCCTCCTCCTCCTCCTCCTCCTCCTCCTCCTCCTCCTCCTCCTCCTCCTCCTCCTCCTGGTTGCCGCCCTCCTCTGGGCTCCCTCAGCGCCTCCCTGCTGCCTCCTCGTGGTGCTGTTGTTTTCCTATTGCTGCTCCTCCTCCTCCTCGTCAGCCTCCTCTTCCTCCTCCTCCAGGTCGCCCTCCCTCGCCTCGTCGTCCTCGGTGCCCGCCGCCTGTCCTGGCGCCTCACGCGCCGGCCGCCGCCGCCGCCGCCTCCACCGCCGACGCCGCCGCCAGGCGGGCCGGGGTCGCACCTGGCCGCGGGCGCTGCAGGCGCTGCAGGATGGCCCGCGCGTTCTCCCTGTGCAGGGAGATCGAGAGTCGCTGGGCCATCCTGTCCGCCGTGCTGGCGGCCTCCTCCCCGCGCGCGTCGGCAGCGCGCTTGGCCAGCACGGCGAAGGCGCGTCGCGCCTCGCCGCCCCAGCTCCCGCCGTGCGCCTCCACCACCATCGGAATGAAGGTGAGGTCGGCGTCGCGGCAGGCCTGCGCCGTGCCTTGGTGCTGCCGCTTGTGCTCCTCGTACCGGTCGAGGGCGGCGGCCGGGTCGGCGGCGGAGTGCGCGATGAGGTCTGCGCGCAAGCCCGACGTCACCGCGAAGTCAAGGGCGGCTGGGAGCCCGGCGCGCCATCGGGGGACGTAGACATCCGCCGGCCGGCGGTCGTCGTTGTCTAGTCCGTCGCCGTCTGGCTCCTCGGCGCTCGGCCCCTCGCCAGGCGCCCGCGGCGGAAGCAGTCCGGGCCGCTCCAGCTCCGCCCCCGAGAAGCCGGCGGCCTGGGCGGCGAAGAAGGTGCCGTTACGCAGCTTGTTGTGGCGGCGCGTGCGGTCGCCCTGGCAGGCGCACGTCAAGGCGTGGTCGCAGTACACGTCCATGACTTCTCCGCACGCCGGGCAGAAAACCTCTTCGTCCATCAGCTGAACCCGGAGCCGTCGCTTTATCCCGATCTGCATCAGGCCGTGCGGGACCGCTGTGCCAAGCGCCTCGCTGGGGGGCGCCTGCAGGTGCGCGCTGGCGTCGGGCGCGGCCACCAGGGCGAGGTGAGCGCGCGTCGCGGGAGTGGAGCGGTTCCAGAGGGCGGCGCGCGCGGCGTCGTCGACCTGGTCCGAGAGAGCCTTCTGGCTGGCGTGCGTCTCCCAGTCGAAGCGCGCGGCGCGGGCTGCCTCGGTCACGCTGGCGTTGTGGGTCTGGAGCGCCGCGGTCAGGGCCCCGGCGTCGCCCGCGTCGTCGTCCGCGTAGCCCGCGTACATGGACCGGCAGAGTTCGCTGCTCTTGGCGCGCGAGGAGAGGTAGGCCGCCGGTGAGTGCTTCTCGGCGGAGCGCAGCCCCAGGCCGCCCTTGTTCAGTTTCAGCTGCGCTTGGGCCCAGGAGTCCTCGGTGAGGGAGGCGCAGGCCAGCTGTTCCAGGCAGGAGCGCACGGCGGCGTCCATCTCCAAGAGGGCCTCGGTGTGGGCGGAGGGCGGCACCACGCGCGCCGAGTAGCCGAGCTTGCAGTAGGAGCCACACTGCCGGAGAAGGTGGAGAGCCACCTGCGCGTCCTCCAAGCCGGCCAGTGCGCCCAGGAGCTCCGCCGCCTTCTTGACTCGTTCCTGCGTGTGCTGGCGGCAGAAACCGTCGCTCCCGATGGGCGCGCCGAGGAGCTCAAAGCAGCCGTCGGAGCGCAGTCGGAAGCCCGGTGGGAAATCCGCTGCGGACGCGTTGCTGTCCGCCCCCGCCGCCAGGACAACCTCGCACTTGCCCGGCCCCGTGCTGAGGTTGAGGCCGACAGCTGCGAGTTCGGCCACGACGAGGCGCAGGAAGCGAGACACGGCCTGTCTGTCGCCCGCCACGCAGCCGTCATCCAAGTAGAAGAAGACGAGGTCCAGGCCAGCGTCCTGCGCGAGCTCCCTGAGGCTGCGGCCCGCCGTCTCGGCGCAGCGTTGGAGTGCCAGGGAAAAGAGCAGCGGGCCAAGCGGGTCGCCCTGCTGGACGCCGCACTCGGAGCGCAGCGTCTGCTTGCCGAGGAAGAGTAGCGAGGGCCTGCCGTAGCACCAGTCCGCCCAGGGTGCCAGCGCGGGAAAGTCCTCGTGCACTGCCCGGAGGATGGCTCTCCGGTCCAAGGTGTTGAAAGCGTTCGAGAGGTCTAACTTCACGAAGACTTTGTCCCTGTCGCCCCGGTTGCGCGTGAACCACTGCCTGGCCACGTGGATCGCCGCCTCCGCGCCTCCCGGGACAGCGACGCCGACCTGGAGGGGCGCCAGGCGGTCGCGGGCGGCCTCGGCGACCTCCTTGCAGAGGCACTTGCCCACCAGGCGGCGGAGTGTCTCGCCGACGGCCACCGGGCGGAGGCCGCCGTCCTTCTTCGGAGAAAAAAAAGGAAAAGAAAAAAAAAAAAAAAAAAAGAAAAGAAAAAAAAATAAAAAAAAAAAAAAAAAAGAAAAGAAAAAGATAAGGAAGAAAAAGAAAAGAAAAAAAAAAAAAAAACGAAAAATCGAAGAAGAAAGGGCAACAAAGAGAATAAAGAAAAAAATAATAGAAAAAAAAAAAGAGTAAAAAAAAAAAAAAAAAATAAGAAAGAAAAAAAAAACATAAAAAAAAAAAAAAAAAAAAAAAAAAGAAAAAAAAAAAAAAAAAAAAAAAAAAAAAAAAAAAGAAAAAAAAAGACAATAGGAGAAAAAAGAAAACAAAAAAAATAGAAGCCACCAACAACCCAAACCACGCCACCACCTACCAAAAAAAAGAAAACATACAATCGGCGGCCACAAAAGAACACAACGAACAAGCTGAAGCCCCAGCGAAGTAAGCCGCGACCGCCGCCGGGGCCTGGCCGCGCGCGAGCACGTTGACGAGACCAGCGAGCTGCTCGACGACCTCGTCCCTGTGGGCTGCCGTCGCCAGGGCGTCCTGCAGGTGTTGCGGGCGCAGGCCAGTGGGGCCGGCGGCCGAGCCCTTGGGGAAGGCCCGCACTTCCTTTTGCACGACTGAGACGTCGACCTGGGCTGCGGCGGCCGCGTGGACAGCAGGCAGGCTAGCCAGGTCCACAACCGGCTGCTGGCTGCGGGGGTGTTTGCGGCTCATCTGGTCCACGACGGCCGGCGTGACGGACACGGGCGGCTCCGACGTCAGCGAAGCGCAGCTTTTCGAGTAGAGCCCCTCCGAAGCCAAGTCGAGGCAGCGCTGTGCTCGGTGAGTCGCCTTGTCCGTTCCCCCTGTCTGGCGCCGCTCTGTTGTCTCCGCCCAGAGCGTCTGGCGCTCTCCCTCCAGCCAGCGGCGGCAGAGGTCCTTCGCTTCCTGCTCGCTGGCGTTCCGGCTGCCTCGGCCTCCGCGGCTGTGTGGGCGCAGCACGCACTTGGGCAGCATGGCAAGTTGGACCCAAGCTGCTTCGGTGTTGTGGTGGACCGCCAACGCCACGGCCTGCACCAAACACTGCGCCCACAACGCCCTGGCCCCCTTTGGCACGTGGCGCCTCGTGCCGGCGCGGCTGGAGAAGACGGTCCGCAGCGAAGGGAACCCTGGCTGGCCGGCCGCGTCGCCAGCGTCGGCCAGAGGGGCCCGGGGAGCCGCGGCGGCAGCTGCACGCGCCGCTGGCCGGCACCTGGGGCACACTCCCTGGTAGCGAAGGCTCAGGAACCGCTGACAAACCGAGCATTGGCCGAGGGCGTGTTGGTCAAGGAACTCCTGCGGGACGGGCGGCAGGTTGGGGTAGCGGCCCGCCGCGTGCTCATTCAAGTGGACCCTCATGCTCTCCTGGCAGGACCACCCTGGCGAGGCGGCAGGGTCGGCGCGCGGGCAGCCGGGCACCGGGCAGTAGACGCGGGCCCGCCGCCGGGCTGCAGGGCGGGGCGCGGCGGGGGCTGGCGGCGGCGGCTGCGCAGCCTGCGGCGGCAGGGCAGCAGCGGCTGGCTCCGCAGCGTGCCCGGCGCCTCCCTCTGCCTGCATGGCCGGAGGCTGGGCGCCCGCGCGGGCAGCAGCAGCAGCAGCAGCCTCCTCCAGCGCAGCTCGCCGGCGGCGCTCGGCCAGCGGCATCCCCGCGTCCTCGTCCATGGCGTTCGTGTCGTCGAGGCGCATGCTGGCGACTCGCTCGTGGAGAAGTGGGTCATCGCCGGGTTCGTCCCCCTCGGTGCGATTGCGCCTGAGCGCACGGCGAGCCGGCGAGGCGCGAGCGCCGACCTCCACGAACGTGTTCCTGACCGACACCTCGGCCTCCCCCTCCATCTGCGCAGGGCCCGCACTCGATGAACTTGCCGTCACT